TGACGTTTTTCTCAACGAAAAGTTGGAATAGGGTTAAAATACCAAAAATCGAAACGTCATGATGTTTTGCACGCTAAGAGCGAAATGTATGAACATTTTGTTTGGTGGTGGCAATGGGCCGAGCCGGCTCGGTCCATGCCCACACAAGCTTGGCTAGTACCCGAGCCAGTGTTCTAAAAGGCGGCAAAATGCGCCGCCTAGGCACGTCTATGCGCGAAGCGTGGTTAAAACGTGTCGCATTCGGTATATGCGTGTAAAAATGCGGTCAACGCCTACGTTGACCACTAAAACGAGCACAAAGGCGCGATAATGCGTACAAAGGCACACATTTTTTTTTAATTTACCATTTATTAATATTATATTATATAAATATAAATTATAAACATTCCAACTTCCAACCCACCAATTGACAGGCCCAGGAAGCTTATGAAAATGAAGAATTCGTTGGCCCATTTATTAATAGGCAAAAGTTCTTGGCCTTTATCTATAGGATTCCGATGTGGGATAACTTTGTTGTTTTACTGTGCAAGCAAGCATTGAACTTGAAAGAGGCTTCTTGAATTTCGACTTTCCACGCTCCTCTTCTTCTTCTTCTTCTTCTTCTTCCCCGACGGCAGTGGCACCCTCATGTTACTGTGATTAGCTCGGCAGCAATGGGGGTGGCGAAGGCGGTGGTTGGACCTTCAGATCTTCAGGTGGGGAAGATGAACGATTTGGGTGGATCTTGTAATTAGGGTTTGGTTGTTTGTATTTGATCTGTTTTTGAATTGTTAATTGGGGTTTGGCAGAATGATTATGGTTTGTGAATTGTTTGGTGGATCTTGTTTGAATTGTTTTTGAATCTTGTTAATTGGTTTGTGAATTGTTAATTGGGGTTTGGCGAAATGATTGGTTGTTTATATTTGATGTTGTTTGATCGTGGTTTGTGAATTGTTAATTAGGGTTTGTGAATTGTGAAAGGCAGTGTTGGGTGAACCCATTATGAGCACCACCATACCCCTCCTAAATGTTATTGCCTTCAGAAAACGATCAATCAGTACAAATTATCAACAATGGGCGACTATCAGCAAACTGGTCTCCAGAGTCCCTCAATGCTGTTGGGTTGGGTCTGTGTGTTTGGGGATGGGTTGTGGATAAATGGGCTTTGATTTTCTTATATGGGCTAAGAGAATAGAAGGTATATAATTTGTGGGTTGATATAAATTTTTTTGATTGATTAAAATTTTTTTGATTGATTAAAATAACATTAAAAATAGGAAACACATTATGACGCTTATTCTTCGCATTGACACACCTAAACTTGTAATTTTTGATTCTCGATCTCGACGCATCACAACGCATTACGCATTTTAGAGCATTGGCCCGAGCTCGCCCAAAACGAGCTGCTCGGCTCGTCTTTTTTAATTTTTTTTTACTACACTACTAAACTAAACTTGAAATTCAAAAAATATATATAATTATATATACACATTTTCTATTTTTTTTTTTTGAAATATACATTTTTCAAAACATTTATAATTTTTAAAATAATAAGAAAAACATTTTATTTGTTAAGTTTTGTTTTTTGTTTACC